GGCAGGAAGCTTGGCTTCCTCCATCGCTGGGGAAACCCAAGCCTCCTGCTAGCTCCATGGCCATAGCCATCTTGGTTAGGTTAATTTGCTCACTCCTGATTGGCTGGTGGGTGTGGGTTTAGCAGAAATACGGTCAATTTGCATGTTTCTTTTTTATTAGTGTAGATTTCCACTTCTTAGGAGATACTTATAATAGTAAGGGGGACTGTAATAATATAGTCATTTTTAACAGTAAGCTAATCTTATTAATGTGGGTTATGCAATTTAGACTTTAGTGAACCCTGGTTATTATAGAAGGCATTGCATTTCAGGGCTTATAATCCTTTCAGAAAATAAACACCAAGAGTGCTTTCAAAATAATATTAAATGAAAAGAAGATAGTAAAAAATAGAAAGTATTAAAATAGAAAATGAGATTGCATATCTTGATTAAAAATCAATAAGTAAGAATGTTATTAAATAAGGCTTTTTAAAAAAAACACCAAAGATTGGAGAATAGAGAATAGATCACTTTAGCTGTGGCATCTATTTAAAATTAGATTCTTTTCTAATTTAAATTTGGCAAAAGGTGGTAAACTAAGTGGGCAAGTTTGTTTTTGCCAACTGTAGAGATGACTGTATTCAGTCATAATTACCTTTAGGAGGCAGAAATATCTATGCCATTCATTTCTCTTTCTAGATGAAGTTTAAGCTTTTCCAAGTTTAGCTTTTACATTAAATCTCTACTTAATCATGGTTATTTGATTTTCAGTTTCAATTTATCAAATATTTATTGAGTACTTGCTTTCTTTTTTGAAGTAGGGGATTACAAAAATTATATAAGAATCCATTTTCTTTAGGATCTTAAAGTCTAGCCTTGAGGAGGAAGTATGTGGAAAATAAAGTAACAAATGTCTGAAGATTTTGACAAAAGTTCAACACAAGATAGAAGTGATGTTACTTTAGTGCATACTTAGTTAAATAAATTTTAAGAAAACTGTGCTTGGAATTTGAAGAATGAGACTGGGCTTATCTTTTTTTAAAAAAAATGTATTTTTTTTTTGACTTTTTACAGAGAGGAGGGAAGAGGGATAGAGAGTTAAAAACATTGATGAGAGATAAACATTGATCAGCTGCCTCTTGCACACCCCCTACTGGGGATGTGCCCGCAATCAAGGCACATGCTCTTGACCGGAATCAAACCTGGGACCCTTCAGTCTGCAGGCCAACACTCTATCCACTGAGCAAAACTGGTTTTGGCTGGGCTTATCTTTGTTCATTTCTACCTTTCCTTTTATTGGCCTCTCAGATGCTGCCACTCCCATTGTCCTCTCTTCCTATACTAATGCCTTTTTTTTCTTCTTAATTTAATTTTTATTTTAAATGGGCCCACTTTTTATTTTTATTCTCATCTAAAGAAATGTTTATTGATTTGTAAGGAGAGAGGAAGGGAAGGATAGATAAATAAATAGGTAGATGGATAGATAGATAGATAGATAGATAGACAGATAGATAGATAAACATCAATTGGTTGCCTCCCGTATGTGCCAAAAATCAAACCTGCAACCTATGTATGTGCCCTGATTGGGAATTGAACCTGCAACCTTTTGGTGTCCAGGGTGATACTCCAAACAACTGAGCCACCAGGCCAGAACTGGACCTATTTTTTAAAAAACAAATTACACTGGAAACTTGATAACCCCCACGGCAAGCTTCTGTGTTGCCTCTCCCTGCATTCTGCTTTTTGAAGAAGCAACCACTCTTATGATATTTTTTCCATAATTGGAGATATTTCTCCATGTGTTGGCTTTTGATTCACCCACTGACTCTCTATCATGAAGATGAGGATTTAGCTTTCTTCACCCTACACATACACCTACCTGACACCCCCTCTACTTTCCTGAAATAGTCTGAGGACCTATTTGGATAAACCCAGATTCAGTATTTTAGTTATTACAGCTCTGCATATTATAATTTAATTTCCTTTTTATGTAACTCTTTTGATTCTTCATGAGATGTCTCTCTTTCTTTTTTTATTAACGTATCTTGGTTTGAGTGGACCTCTTGCTTAGCCTTGCCACGTGCTCTAAAGTTGTGTAAAACACCTCTCAAACCAGGTTTTCATAGGGTCAGTTTAATCTATCAACCCTTTTTTATTTCTAGAACTTTCTTTCGGTGTCCTCCATCCTCTCAGCTCTGATATCGGACCTCAAGATTCCCAGGCTCTGCCCTTAGGGTCACCCTGGGAATTACCTTTGTTTCTCTCCAGTGTTGATCACTGCTTCTGAATTCCTCACTGCTTTTCTCCTTCTTGGTGGAACCAAGAGGGAAGGCCAGGGGCAATTTGGAGGCTCTTATCAGCTAGACCAGCACTGCTGAAGGTGTGGTGCCCTTTGGCTGTTTCTATGAGTCTTTGGTAAGGTCAGAAGCTTGTACTGGAATGTAAGTCAACTACTTCACTGTTCAGTTGGAGCAACTTCATTTTCATGGGAAGATTTAAATGCAGGTTAAACTTCAATGTCTGATTTTAATAAAACGGAATTTTTGTATGTGACATTTCACCATTTTCACCAGGAGAAATCACATAACATGGAAGTGTTTTCAAATACCTATTCTAAAGGCTCTTTCCAAATCATAAATTTCTTTAGAAAAGCAACAACCTTTCTCATTCATTGTGAAATATCACTTTTATCTTAGAGGAGTATTTAAAGATATCTTTAAAAAATAACTTTTAGGCTCTAGCCTGGTGGCTCAGTTGGTTGGAGTGTCATCCCGTTTACCAAAGGAGTCTGCAGGTTAGATTCACAGCCAGGGCATATACCTTGTTTGTGGGTTTGAGTCACTTTCTCTCTAAAAATCAATAAAAACATGTTCTCCAAAGAAGATTAAAAAATATATAGCTCTCAGATTAAAAAAAAAAAATCACAGAAAAGGTCAACACATATTTTTTCACTTGTCTTTTTGTAAAAAGAAGAATGCATAAAACTTTGTGAAGTATTTGCCATGAATTTACAATGAATCCCCACGTAATACAGATTTTCAGGGTCTCTCTGCCCTCTTTCATGAAACCTATGCATTAAGAGAAAAAGGCCATAAATCCAAGTAAGTAGGTACATTTAATCTAAAAGTGAAGTAGAGTTATTAAAAGTGACAGTGAGGATAAGTCTTTGACACTGTGGATCACTCAGTGTTTTCTTGGATGCATCCATTTCCTACCTCAGGGAATGCTGCGACCCTATAATACAGTTCCTCATGTAATGTAAATATCTATGTTTTTCAATGGTCTTAGATGACCCTGTTAGCCATCAGAAAACACAGATATTTACGTTACGATTCATTTACAGTAGCAAAATTATAGTTATAAAGTAGCAACGAAAATAATTTTATGGGTTGGGGGTCACCACAACATGAAGAATTGCATTAAAGTGTTGCAGCATTAGGAAGGTTGAGAACCACTGCCCTACCTGACACTTGAGGGACAGTGTCATCCTATATAATAAAACTCTAATATGCAAGTTGACCGAATGGAGGAACAACGGGTGGAATGACCGGTGACTATGACATGCACTGCCTCCCAAGAGGGAGGTGACTGGTGGTGATGGCAGGGGGGTAGTGGGAAGGGTGGGGCTATCCAGCAGGTGGGTGCCAGTGGGGAGCCCCCAATTGCCCCATCTGCTAGTCACCCCACAGATGGCTCTGATCACCAGCGAGGCCTAGGAACCCTACCCTATATATTGGGAGCAATATCTTAGATTTAAAAATTAAAGCCTGGCAAGGCTACTCTAACACGGAAACAACAGGATGATGCAGCGATGGCATGCATGGACTCTGGCTTGCACATTTTGTGGTCAGCCCTGATTCTGACACTTATACCTGTGTGACAAAGCCAATTACTTAACTTCTCTCTGCTTCAGGTTTCTACCCATAAGTTGGGGAAAATGGTACTACTGCCTCAGAAGGATCATGTAATATACTACTTTTTATAATTAGGGCAAAAAGTAGATGCCCATACAACAGCAAGATGCCTCTCACCTGTATGAAAAGTATGGCCACTGGTGCATGCAGTGTCCTGGATTGTGAGAGGGATGTCTGACTACTGGTTTAGGCCGGACATCCCCTGAGGGGTCCTGGAAACTGAGAGGGCACAGGCCTGGCTGAGGAACCCCACACCAACTCCCACTCCTGCCCTCGAGCATGAATTTTGTGCACCGGGTCTCTAGTCTGAGTATAAAATATTAGTAACACTTAATTTGTTCTTATTTTTTTAAAAAAACATAAATATATGTAGAGCCTCTACTATTTCTTTTGGTCTCTACTGATTGACTGGTGCTTCTCCTGAGGTACTGTGTTCCATTGGCAGGGGCTTGACTAGATGATATTCGATGAGTTTATAAACTAAGGCCAAACCAAGAAGGGTGAAAAGATGGCACTGATGGAGAGGCCGGAGGGAGATATTGTAGAATTGACAGACCTTGGTCAATGTTGGACATGGAGGTGTACATCAGAGGAAATTCACAAATAGGTACTTTTTCCATGCTGTATCTCCATGATGTTCACATCCCATCTTCCCCAATAATAAGTTCTTCCAGATATGAATATAGCTATCACCTATATGCTTCCTTCTTTGTGCCATGCATTGTGAACCTAAGTTTTTGTGCAAACTAGAGTGCTTGCCACCTATTTGCAGACCTCATGTCTCAGAATTTTGCAAACAGCAGCTGTTCAAAAATGTCTGTTTCCCCCCCCCCCCCCTATGAGAGGGTTTCCCAGGCATATCCATACCACAGTGGCTGCCTGATCAGACATTTGAATAGCACGGTGGAGTGTGGGGCCTTCTGAGTCTCAAAGAACAAGGGTTTTCTTTTTAAACAGCCTAAACAGCTGGGCAGAAAAGTGCTAGCAGAAGTCTTTGTTCAAGTCAACAACATTCCCTACCCACAAACAGCTACTCATCCTAACCTCTTATCCAGAAAAATAAAAGAAAAAAATAGATGGATATATTCTTTTGTTCGTCTTACTCACAGCAGAGTTGGTCCACTGTATGCTCCTCCAAATGCATCTTTGTCAATAACTGACAGATATTTATTCTTGTTCAGGTAACTAGAGGGAGAGAGAGAAAATAGATTAGGTGAGATTAAGCAAATTAATTGAAATATCAAAATAAAATATGAACATGGTCCCATAGCTATTAAGAATTTGGAAATTGCCCTAGCTGGTTTGGCTTGGTGAATAGAGAGTCATCCTGCAGACTGAAGAGTTCTGGGTTTGATTACAGTCAAAGGTACATGGCCGGGTTGTGGGCTCCATCCCTGGGGCAGGGAGGGGGAGGCCGGAGGAGGGCTAGGCGAAGGTATAGAAGGCAGCCGATCAATGATTCTCTCTCATGATTGATGTTTCTATCTGTCTCTCTCTCTCCCTTCCTCTCTGAAATCAGTAAAAGAATATTTAGGGAAAAAATTGGAAATTTAAAAATTACTTTCTATGGCTTAAGCACTCCAAAAAAAAAAAATTATAGGTTTCAATTGTGCAAGGTTTATGCACATTAATTATGGCATAAGTCTTTGAAAGTGAGCATGTTTATTGTTTAGTATGCATATGTAGATTTTATATAAGTTACCTAATTCCCTGTTTTCCCAGCCAGTGGCAACTGTATTTTTCAATCATCTTCAATACCAAGTGACTTATAATTTTTTCTCAATATTTATCAGTATTCTCATTTACTTAAAAAATGTATTTTTATTTCTTTGAGAGAGGAAGGGAGGGAGGGAGGGAGGGAGGGAGGGAGGAAGGGAAGGAGAGAGAGAGAGAGAGAGAGAGAGAGAGAGAGAGAGAGAGAGAGAGAGAGAGAGAGAGAGAGACATCAGTGATGAGAGAGAATTATTGATCAGCTGCCTCTTGCATGCCCCCAGGGATGGAGCCTGCAACCCAGGCATGTGCCCTATCCAGGAATTGAACCATGACCTCCAGGTTCACAGCCACTGAGCCTCACGACCTGGCTTCCCATTTACTTTTGAAGAGGGCTTCAATCAGGAATGGAATGAAGGTGGTGAATGTGGTGAGTGGTGATGGGGACTGTGAGGGATTCAGCCTTTTTCTTTGGAATAGGGTTTCTAGATTTAGCAAATAAAAACACAGACCAGATAAACAATGAATACTTTTTTAGTATAAGCATTCCCCATTGCAATTTTTGAAACAGTCTTATACTAAAAGTTAAGATTTGTTGTTTACCTGAAATTCAAATTTAATTGAATAACCTATATTTTCTTTAACAATCCTATTTTGGGGAGTTAGTTTATGCACATGAGATTATAGAGTATATCTTTTGTGGGAGGGTTTGAAGGGCACATTGAGCTTTCCAGTTTGAAACACATGGGACATTTGAGGTTAAAATATTTTTGAAAATATATTCAAGTCACAAAAGTGAGTCTGAAACAAAGTTACTTCCAAATGGATAAAAGCTTCCAAGGGTTTTAAAACTGGCTTTCCCCACTAGCTTTTTTAGAGAACAAAATTGCCTAAAAAGATAAAAGCACATATATATCCATGTTAGGAAGTGATCTAAGTTTATGCCTGTTTAGAATAACTTACCCCATAGCCTAATCAATTGAAGAGTTAGTGAATGAGCCCCTATTGGTGCAATATTAGCACAGTGCAGACCCTTAGGTATGCTTAGATATCGATACAAATAATGCTTCTTTCATTCTGCTTATGGTGTTTGCTCTTCATGGTGGAAAATTCTCAAGGATGATGGCTAATAATAATAGTGTGATATGAGGATTCATGGTCAGAAGGATTCCTGTTTCAGAGCCCTCACAGAGAAATCTTCTTGGTTAACTGGCTGTTCCTCTCTTTCTCTGAGTCAGAGGTGAGGAGAAGGAGGGTGGCTCCATTGGTGGCTGATTGTGGGGAGGCAGCCTTGGTTGCTGTTCAGAAGGCAAAAGCAGAAGCAGCATGTCCATGGGGTTCCTGCCCTCAGCCTCCTCTAGTCCAGCAATTCCAAGCATCTGTCAGGGATGGAACTTATTTTGAATGAGATATGGAAGCCAGAGCCAGATGCGGGTCCCAACTAGAGCCATTGGAGGAAGGAGAGCTTTACTAACCCCAACGAAGTCTCCCTTTCTTGGGCAGGATGAGGGAATTAACCCAATAACCATGAAGTCTCAAACTGACATCGTAAACTTCCTAAAGTCGCTGCTAGCAGGTTTTCTCATCACACTCTTTATTTCTTTTTAAACTTTTAAAAATCAGTGTTTATTTTGCAAGCAAAATGCTCAAAAAACATTAAAATGGTCCAAATGCCTAGCAATATCCAGGTTCCAGTTAAGATTATAGGCAGATGCTGACCATTGGTTTCTCCATTGCTAATGCCTAAATTTCAACGTGCTCAATTCTGCACTTCAATGTGCATGATTCTTCTAGTTGGGGAGCAGTGAATTCCTCCAGTTCTCAGCATACATCAACATTTACCACAATAAAAATGATAAGAAAAACAGTGGCAGTAGCCATCATAGTCACTGCAAAGGGAACTATTTTATGACCCAGGGAGAAATCTGCCACAGCAAATCCAAGAATCAAAATCATTAATCCAGTAGAGAAAATAAAGTATCATTTGCAGAATCTATATGAACATTCTCCTTGGATTATTCTCTGCAACCAGGTCTGTTGACTACAAACTTAAGATGTCAGGTTCATGATGAGTCTTATCTTGTATTAATGCAACTCTTTCAAAATGAGATCTCATCACACTCTTTATTTGCTCATCATCTGTCTCCCCAACCAGAAAACAAGTTCTTTTTCTTATTTATTGCTGCGTCATTGGTACCATGTTCAATGCCTCTGTAATTACTTCTTGAATGAATATGTAAATTAAAAAGAAAGCACTGCATCTGTCCTCCAAAATAGTGAGGTAGGTGCTGCTAAACTCTTAGTATGACACATATGATTGCTTTAAGGGAAAAAGAATGGAAAATGAAGGATTAGAAGACTCAGCATATGGCATGGTGGTCAATTGACCTTTGATGGCTGTGACAAGGCAGATGGTCAACAAATGCCTTAGGGATGTGGCTCAGACATGGCCTCTTCAGGCAGTGGCTGGACGCCAAGCTTCCCGGGCATTGTTATGTCTGAAATGGAAGGCTCATCTCATCTCATACATATACGGGGCCCAATTAAGATGCTACAGCAGCCAATATGTGCTTTCTGGGTGAAAGGCTATCACCTAAGCTTCTCAGTCACAGGCTTCCTCTAATTATTGTCTGGCTCTTCTTCAACTCATGTGTCCATGGAGTTCCTTTGGTCAGTGATAGAGCAGGCAAAGAGCCAGCTTGGAGAAAACAACTGGAGAGAAGATCTTGAATAGCATGATTTCGTAAAAGGCCAATTAAGCTCAGCATAAGGGCCATGCTGGCTTGTGTCTCTTTTTGTATTCTTTGGACCATGCGGCTCGCAGAGCACATTCTGTCCCCAGACTGCTGAAAGTCAAGTAACGACTGGCGAGCTCATCTCAGTGTTTCCTCATCATCCTCAAGTACCGCGAGGGAAAATCGGCTTGCTCTCATCATTAAGAATCATTGTAGAACTAAATAATTGCTTGTCCAATTCTGCAGTGTTTTTGTCTGATATTCAATATGCCCCAAGGAGGCTGGTTGATAAGCATTGCAGATTACCAGAAATGTTGTAGGAGATTTCAAGTTGGGAAAGCCAGCCAGAGTACAGGAGGGGAGAAGGAGGATGGGGGGAAGGCATAGCCAACATGAACGGAGATGAACTGAGTCTTGGGGGAGGCCTACATCCTCTAAAACCAACATGGTTGTTCGGGCACTTTACCTCTTAGAGATAATTGGGTGCTTAGAAATGAAACTATCCCCCTGCCTTTAGCATTTGGAGAGCTGCCTTATTTAGCTCTTAACCTTGGGTTTAGATGGTTGATATACTTTCCATCTGAATCTAAAGAACTGGATGGGGGAACATCTAGATAAGCTTTAATAGGCAGGAGGAATTGCTTTCATTGGCCCCATGTATCACATAATATTTCCTGGGAATGTTGGTCTAGCTGGGGAGCGGTGTTGAAGAACTCAGTATGTACTATGGGTGCAATGTTATGGCCTCACTCTTGGGACATACCAGCCATCCAGTGAAAACATGGTGATGAATCAAGAAAGACCAGTTGCTGGGAAATTCCTAGCCAGAGGCACCCTCTGTGTTATGTTTAGCTGAGGAAGTGTGTCAGAGGGAGAAGTAGGACACTGTGGCAAGGGAAGATGTGGTTGTTGCTGAGCATTGCTCTCTGGGACACATTCAGCTCCAAGATGAAATTTTAGCCTGTGTCTCCATAATTCCAGTAGGGGACGCTTTGGCTGGCACCTGTTTGTGAGACTCTCATGGGAACACTTCTGTGGGGAACCGTAGTTCCCAGTTATCACATTTGTCATTTGGAATTAAAGGGAACCCTTGCCCAGCCCTCATTGCTCTGTGGAAATCCTTTGGTATCAGAAATCAGGATACTTGTCTGTAAACAGTCACAGGTGGGAAAACACACAGGGTTTCAACAGGATGAGAAAGCCAGCCTTGGAGCATCTCCCACAAGCTGCTCAAACACTTACTGAGAAATAATGGCTTCCTTAATCCTATAATCTCCTCTATCGTCATCTTTTCTTCTGTGCTCCAAGTTGCGGTGTTTTGCTTTTAATCAGCTAACATGCGATGCTAATTAGTACATGAATTGTGTTGACTTCCCTGTTCATAATGACTAGTGTTTCATTCTTAGCACATCAAAACAGGATTCCCCTCTTCTCCACCCAAATGTCTACTGTCTGATAGTAGCTACTTACTGGAGTTTGACAATAGAAAGTCCAATGCAGAGAATTAGACATTTTGAGATAAGCAGCACATTTCCACACCAGATTGGGTGAAAAGAGAGGATGAAAAGGAGGTTCCAAAGAATGAACATGTGGCTTTACTTGCAGTTCGACTTCTGTGGAATAGAAGATGCTTCTCTTTTTAAAAAATTAATTTCACATCTGAGTGATGACAGAGTGCTTGGTTCCATGTGAAATCACAGGACCATGTGCTCTTCCACTTCTGCCACGATTTTCGTGAAC